AGCCACCGCCACCCTCGGGGCTGCGGGTGCCCCTGCAGCGCGGGGCTGGCGGCAGAGCTCTGCTGTGCCCTCTGCGGCGAGGGGAGACGGCGCTGCGGAGCCCGGCTTGGAGCAGCCCCTCGGCTTTCCCCGCTGGGGGCCTGGCTGCAGCCCCCGGCCTTGTACCCGCTGCCAACTGGCAGCGCTGCTGCCGTCACCTTTCCCGCAGGAGAGGGACAGCCAGGCTTGGCGGCGGGATGTGGCTGGTTATCTTTCATGCCATGCTCTCATCCTCCTGCGGATGTCAGCCCAGGCTCCTCCTCTTCCTCTCCCTGCAGAGAGCTCGGTGACCAGCACACCCCTCTCTGCTGTAGGCCTGGGGAAACTGAGGCACGGGGCAGTGATGTGGGCCGCTTGCCCAGCACACCAGTGGCAGAGCCAAGATGCAGGTACCCGGGCCCTGAAGTGAGGCTGTGCCATCCACGCCGGCGGGGCTGGGGACGATGCCTGTGGTGCCTGCCCAGCCCCGTGCCCCTCAGCCGGGGCAAGCTGGGGGCCCCGTGCCTGCGGCCAGGCAGCTCGGGTGCCCTCACACACAGCTGGGCTGCCGGGCCCTGCCAGGCAGCTGTCACGTCCCGTGATGGATGGCTGCGAAGCGCTTTTCTGTATTATAAATAATGTGTTTGGAAAACTCAAAAATATCTCAGCCATTGCCCTGAACTTTAATCTGATCCCGAGCAGGGGGCTCGCGGCCGCCCAGGGCTCCCTCATGCATGAGGGAAATGGAGTTTTGCTGCCGTCTGTCTGCGCCCTTGCAGGTGCTGGCCCTGCCCGGCTTCTCGGCCAAACGTCTCTGCCTGCCGGGGCAGGTACCAGTGGGGGAGCAGACACGAGCTGTGGGGGCTGCTCCCTCCTGGAAATGAGCCGTAAGATGGCAAGAGGCAGCGTGATTTGGGGGAGAATATTTGGGAAGCCTGTTGCTGGCTGGGAAACGGGTTAACAGGGCATCCCCGCAGCCCACGGGGCTCCCCGCTTTGCAGGGGTCTCCGCTCTTCCCACGCCCCGGCTCCCATGTCGGCTCCGGCCTCGCTGCTGCCAGCTGGGGAGGTCAGCGATGAGACTTGTCACCCTTCAGCAATGCGGAAAATGTCCCCCAGCCTCTCCAGTGACGCCGCGCGGGGAGGAGAGGCCGGGTCGGTGGGAGCTGGCCTCCCGTGAGCTCTGCTCCCCTGGGTGCCCCCCTTGTCCCCTGCTCTGCCCGTCCCTGCGCCCCTGCAGACCCACCCAGCTCACCAGGGTGTCTCATTTTTGGGGTGCTTTAGCTGAGGTGGGGACCGTACTCAACCCTGGAGCCAGCCCTTCCTCTTCCCTTTCCGTGCCTAAATCTCACACCAAAATTCACTTCCAAATTTTTCATTTGGCCACAAGGATTTGGGTCTTCTGCAGCATCCAGGGAAGTGCCCAGAGTTCCTCCAGGTTTTTAGGATGGATGTGGCTCCAGCAAATTCAGCCCTCGGCAATGCAAAAGGATCAAGGGGTGCAGAATGGGGTCCCCACTGTGGCTCCTGCCTCAGCACCAGCCAGGGGTGGCAACAAAGCCACTGGTGTTGGGTGCCACTGTGGGCACCTGTGGCTCTCGTGGGTGGAGGGCACAGCCCCGCGGCACATCCCAGGAGCGTGTGGGATTTCCAAATGTCTGCCCCTAATCCTTGGGGGGCTGCTTAGGATTTACATCCGATTAGGAGGGCGATTTAAAGGCCTGCCAGCTGTTGGGGCTGCAGAGGAAAATGTGCCATTTCCAGTCATTACTGGAATAGGTCTTTACCCCAAAACTGGGGTGTTTGGATCTGGGATGGGTTTTGCACTTTATGAAGCCAGAGCCTGCTGGAAAGGTCACTTATGCTTCTGAGATGGGGTTTGAACCTCGTGGACCACCTGGAGCTGGCTGATGTTCTTCTTCGGAGGGATGGGCTGCAGGATGTGTCCCTGCTCGTCCCTCCTGCCTGGGTGAGCCCGGAGATGGACCTGGGGTTGGGATGGGACCTTTCCCCACGCTGCCCTGCTCACTCTTTTCTTAAACACATTGTTCATCTCTTGCTTGAAGTTCAGGACGGTTCAGGATGGGGTCGGGTCTGAACTTCCCATGGGAAGGGCAGAAGAGAGAGGAGCTCATCATGAATCCCCAGGCAACAAATTGGGTTGGATTCAGCTGAGCAGAGCCCCACAGCCGCTTCCTGGGCTTATGTCGGATGTTGAGTTTTAATCAACCTTGGCTGACCTTGGCTGATGCTCTGAGGGTAAAACAGGGTCTGTCATTCGGAGTGTCCAGACCCTCTGGGACAGAGGCAGCCGGGGACGGGGTGCTGTGCGGGGACGGGGTGCTGTGCAGGCTCCACAGCAGCTTGTGGGACTAAACATGTCCTGATGAGGACTGGGAGCAGGACCTCTCCCATGCACGTAGTTCCTGTTAAAAATAAAGGGTGGGTTTCCCCCAAAATTGTGACGTTTCAAGGCGAAGCGGGGCTTGTTGCTGTGTTCGCAGCGCTCCGATGGAGGATTTGAGGTGCTGGGGTTCCTGAGGTGCCGTGACTTTTTAAAGCCCATTTTTGAATGTAGTGATGATCATCTGCAGTACTAGTAGGGATGGAGAAGCATACAAACAACCTGGAGGAGGGAACGCTCCCAAATGAAATCTCCACTTCAAAGAAATGTCAAAACGTGGCTCCTTCCTCGCAGAGCAGAATTGCCTTCTTTTTCAAATGTCAGCGTTTCCCAGAAAACAGCAGGGCTGTTCCAGCCCAGCCGGAGCTGGGACCTGCCTTAGCGCCCGGGTGAGACTTTCCTGCAGAAAGTGCTCCAAAGGTGCAAATCTTCCTTGGCAGGAGCAAACAGGATCCAGCAGGTCCTGTTCCCGGAGGCCGGGCTTCCCGCCCGCAGGCAGCCGGGGCTCCAGCAGCCCACGCTGGGGCAGAGTTAGGCCCCGAGTTTATGGTTATTTTTATTGCTGTGTTTATTGCCTCTTAAATTAACCTCCCGGAGGCTGGTGCCTTTAAATGGCAGGAAGGGACCTTGAGCAGCCTGTTGCTGTTGCGCAAGGTACCTGTGCTCTGGGCACCCTCCGGGTGCAAGGTGTGTGCCGTAGGGAGATAGAGATGCAAATTCAGGCTGGACACCGGGCTAGGCTCGGCTTATGGCCCCGCACACACATCTCACCCCCTTGAACGTGGCTTTGTGCGGTGCGTGCTGCTGACCTACTTTCTGGGCTGGGGATCCTCTGGTGGATCTGGCTGTGGAGGATGCTCTGCCCTGCAGTCTGGGGGGGGACCAGGAGCCGGGAGCAAACACCCGGCAGCTCTTCTGCACACCCGGATAAATAACCCAGCGCCGTGGGGACTCGGGAGCAGCACGGAGCGGTGGCAGGACTCCTTGCTGAGGGCTAATGGCCGGATGTCCCAAGACCTTTAATAGTTATTAATATTTTCAGTTAATAAATGGCCCATGACACCAGAGTTATTAATTAATGAGTTGGAGTGCCAAGACGTGGCCCATGACAAGTTAATAGCTAACACCCCCTGGGTAGCTAAACGTAAGGTGGGGACCTGGCTGTGGGTGACGGCTGGGAGCGATGCTGGTGTCGCTGCTCAGCTTCTGCGTGGACCTGGGTGACCCTGCGTGTCCTGGGGGTTATTCACCCGCTTTCTCAAAAGAGCAGCTTCCAAATGGGACCTTACATCTCTGCAAATGCCACGGGGAAGGGATCCCTCTGGCCACAGTGATGTTCTCAGCCTGAGCTGATCTGTGCCTAGCGCTAATTGCCCACTGTTTAATCTGCGTGCTGGGGATTTTGGGTACCGATGCAGCAGCCTTGGAGAGGTGTCTGGGACCCACTGCGCTGCAGGGCTGGCCCTGGGCGCTGCTTACGGGGGGTGTGCAGTTCTGGGAATGGGATGGGGGCTGCCGCTGACTCATTCCTGGGTGCGTCTCCGTGCTGGGCAGGATCAGCGGGGCCGGGATGGGGGCAGAGCGAGTCCCAGGGCAGGCCCAGCCCTGCGGGGAGCCAGGATTCCCGGTGCCGATGGGGTACCTTGTCCTTGCCAGGCTGCTGTTTCTGTAAAGCTCAGCCCTAGGCAGGGTGGGACCTTGAACTTTGGAGCACCTGGGTGTGAGGAGCGGTTGGCAAAGGCGCCCGCCTGCCCCTGGGCAAACGGCATTGCCGGAGGATTACTCACGGAGCAACGTGCTACACGAGGATCCTGGAAATCACAGAGGAGCTGAGGTGTTTCTGAAGCGCTGAGTGGATTTCACAGGCTCCCCGAGGAGATGAATCCCTGAGCTCAGCGTGGGCTGGGATTGCTCGCAGGGAGCATCCCCCGCGTGAGCCCCCAGGCCCCGTCCTGCTCCCCAGGCTGAGCTGCTGGGGACGGGGCTGCCTGTGCCACTGTCCTTCCTTGGGATTTGCTGTTCCAAGAGCGAGGATTTCTTGTTGGCCATCACTAATGAATTTGCTTTCATCCACGAGGATTAACACCCTTCTGCCCTCCAAGGGAAGAGGGCAGGCGGGTGGGGGGGTCAAGATGAGATTGACTTTCCTGGTGTCCCCTTTCTCGCTGCCAAGTCCCACTGGAGGCCTCTTGTTGACTTCAGTGGATTTTGGATCAAGCTCTTGAACATTAATAATAATGACTCATAAATCATTGCTTGCGCCACCTGTTTGTCATGTTTCCGCCCACAATAACTATATCAAGTGTTTTTATAAGCTGAGCTGGCACGAGTTGTTTGTCACATCTGGACAGCATCGTGGGAGCGTGAATCTGGCCGAGCCGCAGCGTGTGGTTTTTCCTGGCTGGGAGGGGGAAAGCCACACAAATTCCTTTTGCATGGGGTTGAGTGGTACTCCTCGGATAGCACGTTGGGTCTGGATGGGTCCTGGGAGCCTGTTTGCAGTGGGAGTGCTTGGGCATGGCACGAGCAGTGGAAAAAGGCTCTTGGGTATCCTGAGTGTGTGGGGATGGTGCATCAGGGCTTCATCTGTTGAAGCACTGGAAGATGAGGATTGCAGCTGCCCCATGATCCTTCAAATCGCTATAGAGGTGTCATCCACCCCGTGGCCTTTCATGTTGAAAGTTAACAGATGCCTCCTCGGGCAGCGGGGCTGGGCGCAGGGGCTGCCTCCTCATTCTCCCCCTTTCCCTGCAGCCAAAGCCCGAGAACGCCATCACCATCGCGGTGTCGTCGCGAGCGCTTTTCCGCATGGAGGAGGAGCAGAAGATTTACAACGAGCAAGGGGTGGAGGCTTACGTGAAATACCAGCTGGACCATGAGAACGAGCCCTTCCTCCCTGGGGCTGCCTTCCCCTTCGTCAAGGTGAGCATCCACCCGCCTACGGGGGATCAGCACCGTGGTCCTGACCCAAAAGTTCTGGGGAGAGGGGAGAGCTATGGGGTGCTTGCGTGGGGAAGGGGTTGGAAGTGAGCAGCCTGGCAGAAGGGATGTAGCCACAGGGCAAACAGAGGTCAAATAAACCTCCTGGCAAGTGATGTGCTTCTTCCAGGACTGAGGAAACGCTGAATATTCCAAATTGGCAACTGAGCCCAAGGACTGAAGAGATCATCTCTTTGGACCGTATTTAAAGTTTCCCTTTAGGGAATTCTCTCTTTTTTTCTTTTTTTTTTTTTTAATGATAATTTATTTATTCTTTTAAATTGGCTGTATTTAGCCTTGCTACAGAGTCGGCCAATTTCTCATTTTGACATGTTGAACGGAGACATTTCAAACTTTAAAAATGTTTTCCAATTTCTGCCCCAGATTCACTGGATTTAGTGCAGTTCTGCATGCTGGCCCTCACTGAAAGCAATCTCTTGCCCATTCTCAGTGAATAAACTAATCCACTTGGTGGAGAGAGACTTGTTCTGTTTCTGATTGCTTGAAAAACACTTGTCTGTAACTTTTGAGCTAATTTATTCTCATCTCCTGATGAAAATTTGAAACCTTTTATGTTTGAAAATAGAAGAGTCTTTTTTTCCCGCAAATCAGTCTCTTTTTTTTTTTCCCCCCTAGTTAAAGCTGCTTGCTGATGTCAGCTTGGCTCAGGGTGTAGCTGGGGTTGGGCCAGATCCCTTGTTTTGGTGAACAGAAGTGTTTTGCTGAGTGAGAAGGGGGGTCAGGGCCATGCGTGGGGTGCTCTGACACCCACCCCCCTGGCCCTGGGGTGCTGCAGGCGCTGGAAGCGGTGAACACGCAGCTGCGTGAGCTCTACCCCGACAGCGAGGAGCTCTTCGACATTGTCCTCATGACCAACAACCATGCCCAGGTTGGGGTTCGCTTGATCAACAGCATCAACCACTACGGTAAGCTGAGAGCAAACCATCCTTTGCGCGGTGCCGATGGCTTTTGGGCAGAGTGTCACTGCTTGGCAGCAGGATAAGGAGACACTCTCTCCTGTCTCTTCCTCCAAACCACACACTGAACCCACTTCTCCCGAATTTCCTGGGCTTTGTGTGGAAGTTGGCTGGTGGTGAGGATGCTTTGGCTGCCGGCCATGCTGTTGAGCGCCAGTACCACAATCAGCTCCTGTCCTGCTGACTCTTGGGAGGCCTCAGGGGAGCAGTGTCAAGGCTTGTTTGGGGGGCAGTCAGGCTCACCCCAGGGTCCATCTGCCCTCAGATCTGTTCATCGAGAGGTTCTGCATGACGGGAGGGAACAGCCCCATCTGTTACCTCAAGGCCTATCACACCAACCTCTACCTCTCCTCTGATGCCGAGAAAGTGAGTGGGGCCATTGAAGAGGGTGAGTCTGGGGTCCAGCATGGAGGGGGGCAGTGGGGGGAGCCTGGAGCCCTCAGGGGGTTGGTGCCAGGAGTGGTAGCTCCAGTGTCTGTCTAGGATCTGCCTTGTCCCACATCCCATCCCGGGTGCTCCAAAGAGCCTCTGGTTTCCATTGAAATAAGGCTTTCCTCGAGCTCCACAGCTCTTGCAAGGCAAAGGCACTGTTTTTCCCTGTTAATTCTTGTATGCAAAGGGAGGTTTGTCATCTGGGGATTTGTTTTTGCTGTAAAAGGTCCCGGGGCCAAGCTGCAGGCGCTACTGGGTGCGTGCATTTCCTTGCAGTGTTTACTTCCAGCCCATCGTGTTTTGCTTTGCTCCTCAACAGATAAGCCATGAGGCCAGGTCCTTGGGTAACTGCCACCTCTTGCCTCACACTTTAACTCCACAGGGATCGCCGCAGCCACCATCTTCAGCCCCAGCAAAGACCTGGAGGTGTCGGAGAACCAGCTGCGGGTGGCGTTTGATGGTGATGCCGTGCTCTTCTCTGATGAGTCGGAGCAGATCGTGAAGGCTCACGGCTTGGACATGTTCTTTGAGCACGAAAAGGCTCACGAGAACAAGCCTCTGGCACAGGTAGTGCTGGGGTGCAGCCAGAAAAAGCTTCTGGGAGAGAGACAGCCCGCAGGGATGCTCTCACCTCTGGGAACAAGTCAGGGGTCAGCATGTGGAGTGTGAGGCGGGGTGGGCCAGCAGCCTGGTACGACTGGCCCCTCGCTGTCATTTCTGGGGGACACAGGGACAAGGGGTTAGCCAGCCTGTCTGGCTCTGCTGGGTCTGGGTGCCCGGAGGAAGGGATAGCGTGAAAAACCTGCCAAATTTTTTCTTGCTTTGGCAGGGACCCCTGAAGGGCTTCCTGGAGGCCCTGGGGAAGCTGCAGAAGAAGTTCTATTCCAAGGGGCTGAGGATGGAGTGTCCCATTCGCACCTACCTGGTCACTGCCAGGAGCGCGGCCAGCTCGGGAGCCCGAGCCCTAAAGACTCTGCGCAGCTGGGGCCTGGAGACGGATGAGGCTTTGTTCCTGGCCGGGGCTCCCAAGGGGCCGCTGCTGAAGAAGATCCGTCCTCACATCTTCTTCGATGACCAGATGTTCCACGTGGAGGGAGCCAAGGAGATGGGCACCGTCGCTGCCCACGTTCCCTACGGCATCGCCCAGAAGCACAAGCGGCCAGCGCAGGAGAAACAAACCCCGAACAGCAAGTAGCAGAGCCGGCTGGTCCCACGGCCCCCGGCACAGACTTCACCCTGTGCGCCACGCTCTGACCTGCGTTGCGGTCTGCGAGGCAGAGAGCACTTGCCCTGGCAAGCGCAAAGGTTTTTCCCCAGCGGGAGCCGTGTTGGGGGCATAGATGGAGGAGGGGGCTTGACGAAAGGCTTCGTTTTGCCTCTGTGTTTGTTGCAGTGTCGTGGCGTTGTCCCCGTTCCTCGTGGGGCCGGAGCCTGCCCCACGCTAGGCAGCCCCACGAGCCTTTTCCCCTGTTCCTCCTGCTCTGCACTTGCTTCAGGCAAAATTCCTCGAGGATGGATCTTGCCTTTTGTGGACTGTTTGTGCCAGGCAGGTTTAACCTATTGGTGTTTCTTTAAAATCCTGGGTAATTCCCAAAGCCTTTGATTTACAAAGCAAATGTTCAGGCTGAACTGTTGAACTGGAAAAGTTGGGAGCACACAAGAACCCTTCTTGCAGCTTTGAAGCAAAATATTTCTTTTAACTAAAATTAAACTGTAATATTGTTCCTTCACAGACCCAGCCCCTGCTCTCCAACCAGAAAATCTTTCATGTCTTTCATCAAGATTTTGCCAGCTGAACAGCTTTCCTAAAAAATTTCCACTCAAATTTTGAAAAATAGAGACAAACGGTAATATATGTTTAAAAAAAAAAAAATCCTCTTTCCTGCTTGGCGTTTTGGGCTAGTGTATTGTTGGCCCAGGTTTTAAAATTTGGGTTTCACAGTTGCGTAAGTTAGCACTTAAAAATAATACTAATGTCAGTGAGGCATCCAAAGCCCAGCTCTTGTCTGTGTGAAGCATCCAGGGTCTGCAGACACATGTCTAGGGCTTGAATTAAGTTAAAAGCAGGCCTTAATATGTTAGGGACATCATTTGAAGTCCATTTAGGTAAATCTGCAGAGAATTTTAGCCTGGGGGTTTTAATTAAAGGAATTTTTTTTTTTTTTTCCCCTCTTTCTAGGCTGAGCCCATATGAGTTGATAAATCTTTTTCTCCTCAGCTTCTTAAAACCTCTGGTGTTTCCTAAAATAGACACCTCTGCTAGCGATGCCGTGAGAGAACCAAATCTCCGATTAAAAATCAGGAGGAGAAATCAATTGGAGAGCTGCTCCAAAGTCGGTGTGAAAAATCACACTGACATTTCTGCACAAAGCCCCGTCCCAAAAGACACAGAAGAAAAATATAAAGATTATTTCTTGTGGGTTGTTTGTTTTGGTTTTTTTTTTTTTGCTTTTGGTTTTTTTTTGTTTGTTTGTTTGT